GGTGGAGAGACTCATGACCTGGGCGCACTGGGCCAGGCCAAGAGTGAAGAGCTCATTCCAGCAGGCCCGTACCAGGCTGGTATTGCAGTCCTGTCTGGGAACATAAGGATAAGGCTGAGTGTGGTACATGTGGCTGACTCTAAGTATGTGAGCTGTACAGGCTCAAAGACTCAGCACCATCCACCAGGTAGCAAGGGTATGACAATGGTCTATTATGTATTCAGGGTCATTCCCAGGAAAATGACCAAGTCCTTGAGTAAGTCTATGAAGGTTTTAACTAAAGTCCCTTAGATGATAAATTATTCTCTTAAGACTTTTTCAGGGTTAGCAAAGTGGCCCATCAGATAAAGATGCTTGCCATTAAGCCTAGTGACCTGAGTTCTATCCCCAAAATCCACATGGTTGAGAGAACCAATTCCCCCAAATTTTGCTCTGATCTCCACATACAAGCTGTAGCATACATAGTTAAAAAAGAAAAGCTTTTTTTATGTCTATGTACATGACTGTATGGTTATATGTGCATGTGTACATTTGCATTCAGGCCAGAGGTTCAAAAGATACTCAGGGTAGAATGCTTGTCTAGTACATATACAAGCCCTGAGTAAAACTGGGTGGTACATTTGTCATCCCAGCACTCAGGAAGTGGCAGTAAGATCAGAAGTACAAGGTTATCCTCAGCTACACAGAGAATTTGAGGCTAACCTATGTTACATGAGATAAGTCTTACTATGTAGACCAAGCTAGCTGTGGTCTACATAGCTAAATCCTCCTGCCTCTGCCTCCTGAGTGCTGAGACTAAAGGCATGAACCACTATACCTGGCTAAAAACTTTAAAAAGGAATAGTCATATGAAGGTTTCCTTAAAATTTATTAAGCCAGGCATAGAAGTAGTAGTGATACTACACTTAAAATGCTATCACTGGGGAGGCTGCGACAGATGGAAATCCATAGGGCTCTTTGGCTAGACAGCTAAGCCTACATGGGGAGTTCCAGGCTAGTGAGAGACCCTGTCTCAAAAAAAAAAAAGTATACAGTACCTGAGAAAAAATACCCAAGGTTGTCTCCTCTCCCACATAGGCATGCGCGCATGCACACACATACACACAACCCCTCTAAAGTTCATTTTTGTGGGGTTGGGATGCATAAAGCAAACATTCTACCACTAAGCCATATTCCCAGCTTCCCCACTGAAGTTGGTTTCCCATAACATTCTAAATCCTAACAGTCCTAGCTTGTCTCTGAGTATCTGGGTGTGTGTGACTCAGGTCCTCCAGCAAAGATGAGAAGCTGGACAGGTCAAATGACAAGCACTGACTACAGATTCTGAAGAGCAGAAACTCCCTAACAAGGTTGGCAGGCAGAAGAGCTAGTGCCGGAACTGAAGCAGCTCTTTGTTTAGTCAGTGCTCAGGAGAGGGACCGCAGGTGGCACACTGCAAAACCTTTTATTTCCCAAGCTGCCAGAAAGCTGGAGAAACTGGCCTGTCTAGACAGAGATGTATCCTCTATGTGCTTCAGCCCAGCTCTCAAGTGCAGCCTTTATTCTGTTAGATCACTATTCTGACCACTAACTTAGGAATAAATAGTATGTGATTTGTAATAAAAATCCCTTTAAAATCTGCTAGTCTGGGCAATGGAACTCTGGAGGAGGTTTCCAACTGCTCCAATGGAAACAAAAACAAACAAAACCCACTCAGGGAAGTGGGAGCATCACTGTTTAGCCACACATCAGGACATCTTCACATAACAGTACTGACAATCCTGAGATGTCAACTATCTCCCAGATGGCATCAAGGGTACGCCAATGTCACAGAGTTCACATGATTTTGCAAATGTTTAATAGTAACTACTTGTCCAGTTGCCCTGAGAATGACAAACCAAACTGTCCATCTCTCCTTTAATAATGAAGTATGGTGAACTACTGTCACCACTACATGGGGGCTGGGGGGGAGGGGAGCATATGCCACCGTACCCAACCCAGTAGCACACTGCTATCTGAAGATCCCCTTGCATGTTTAGCTCTGGGTTAAGAGCTTTATCAGCTTTCACTTCTGGAAAGGATTCTATGGAGAGGAAAACTGAAGGCTCAGAGAAATGAAGTGACTTTCCTACAGCCTTACAGCTGTCAAATATAATTCTTATGATTCTCAATCCAGATCTGCTTACCCATGGCTATTGCTGTGAACCAGTGAACAACCTAATGTTTCCCACATATAAACTGTGCTGGTTACCCTGCAGCATGCATCCATTCACTACATTTCCAGTTTCATGTGGCTATTTATGTTCCAGCAAGACTATAAGCCACAATGATAGACTGGTCCAACTGGACATTAGTTACTTAGCACAGTAGCAGAGCTGGCATTGGAATGGACAGGGAAACAGGATCACCAAACACATGAATAAGCAAGCAAGAGGGGGCTTCCTGAAAAGAAGACACAGGCCAGTAGTCCTCACAGGCTGGCCAACACTGAGGCAAGGGGATGTGTAAACACAAACCAGTACTCTGATACACTAATACTATCAAAGGCCAGACACAGTTCCTAGCAACAAGTCCCTCGCACATACAAGAAGTACTGTTTCCTCCAGTCTACTGACTACATTAATAAAATTTTGATCTCTGAATAAGGTAAATTGGAACAATCACACTGGAAAGGCCCTCAGAGACCTTGTTGGCCATTCCTGGATGGGAGAATGCCACTACTCAAGGACACCCAGGAATAAAGGCCACTTACCCAAGTGCCTGGAAGGCTGGGATTGACCTTGCCCAGTGCATGGAGAGGAAAAGCAGGCGGGATGCAGACTCGCAGATGTAATGCACATTGAGGTACTCTGGCATAGGGCTGGGCATCGTAAGCTGGAAAATAGGAGGCACTGTGACACGAGCTAAAGGAAGGGCAGGTGCCCTTGTCAACATATCCCTTTCTTGTGTCAACAAAGGTTAACAGCCAGAGTGGCTGTCTCAGATCTCAAAGAACTTCCAAAGACCTGTCATTAGTGGAGTATGTATCCATGTAGCCAAGGCTCCCACCAGCTCCCATGGTTTCTTTCTCAATGACTTGAGTCCAGCAGTCTGGATTAGGGTTCAGAGGCTGTAAGACACTTTGCAGCTCACTCATACAAAGGTATCTTCAACAACTCTCACAGCTATATTGTTACTTGTCTTTAATTCACTGACAAGTGTTTTTAAAGGTAACTTCAAGATAATGAAAGGGTACTGGGCGAAAGCCCATATGAGAAGATAACATCTCATTGGAAGAACAGCCTGCCAGGGCTCCAGATGCTCTGATGTCCACAAGGGCTCTCTAGTGTCTTGGGAAGCAACCTGAGAAGCAAGCCGTGGGCAACTATAGTCAAGTGACTGACTAGATCTCTCTAGTACAGAGCACTGAGACAAGAGACTCATTTCGGAGACTATAGACTAGAAAGCCTTCTGATGCCCTGTCAGGAGGGCAGACACAGAAAGAGCATGGGGAAGACTGAGGACCTACTAGTATTCGTCAAAGATGGTGGCTAAGGCTCTAGTGGGCAGTATACTTAAGATCTGAGTCAGGCTGCCTACTTGCTAATGAGTTTATCTGATGACTTCTCTATATAGAGAGCCAACAAGTTGCCCACCTGAACCTATGTTGGAGCCAGGCTGTCACAGGAAGGAAGAGGCAAAGCAGCCATTCCCTGATCCTCAATGCCAAGCACTACAGCAGTCATATCTTGGCAGTGATGTGCCACACTTATTGGAGGGTCGCTTCAGAACCAAAGGCACTATGGAACAGTTATGTAAAGAAGCAACAGGAATATGCTTTGGAATTCAAGATTCTGCCACAATTAGAAAATGAGCTCATGCCAGGTGGTAGTGGCACACACCTTTAATCCCAGCACTCAGGAAGCAGAGGCAGGTGGACCTCTGTGAGTTCAAGGCCAGCCTGGGCTACAAAATGAGTTCCAGGTCAGCCAGAGCTGTTACACAGAGAAACCTTGCCTTGAAAAAACCAAAAACAAACAAACAAATAAATAAATAAATAAATAAAAATAAAGAAAATGAGCTTTCTGCAAGGTCTTACTTTTGAAATTGTAGACTAGCATTGGTACAGTACCTGGCTCCAGCACACTGGGGAGGCAGGTGGCACCTGTTAACTTATGTGTACTCACCTTAAATGTGACGTGTGTATCTGAAAGGAGGGGGCCTTCAACTTCAATGATGGGTGTTGACTGGTCTCTGCTGATGACATGGATGCTCCCTCCTCCACTAGCATCCATGCTATCTGCCAGGCTGGGAGGTGAAGCACTATCTGTGGTATTAAGTGCTTTAGCTAAGGTGTCGAATGCCCTGTGACCAAAAAAAACGAAGCAGACATCAATGGCAAGTCAGTAATAGAGCTCCAGCTGATTCTACTTAAAGAAGCAATGAATGGAGACAGACAATCCAGTTCCACTCAGAAGGCAGTGGAGCTCTTCTTACTATGTATTTAGGCACTGAGCTATGTACTTTCTATCTTCACATATAATTTTTCATAACTACTTCCTAAGATGTAAATTACCTACACTTTATAGATTTGAGTGCTGAGGTTCACAGATGTTACCTTTTCCAATAACAGCATTCACAGGGTATCCAGAATTCTTTATAATTTAGATCTCATGTTCTTTCCCCTATGCCTGAGATCTGAATATTGCCATCAGATTGAAAATTAACAGGAAAACCAAGCAGAGAACTTGTGTGGCTCCCAGAATGCACCTATCTGGCCCGACACCAAGGCTAGAATGGAAGAGCAAAACAAAAGGGCCAATCTACAGGGAAGAAACACCCTGAGCAGCCAGCCAATGCCATCTGGAGCCAGCTAGTGCTATCTATCAGTTAGCACAGACCATTCAGAAAACAGGTGCAAGCCAACAGAAACAAAAAGAAGAGGTACACTTACACAGTGCTCAAGACAAAGAACATTTGTCTGGTGAAGGCCTTGGTGTAGGGAATGAACAACAGTTCTGACTGCCTTATGTCACATGATATAAGCAGGTCCTCTTTTAGTGTGGGTGCCCACAGTTAAATGTAGAAGACCAGCAATGTGTGGGGTTGTTGTGACAAGTTTGTAGTTCTTAATTAGACATAACTGGGGTACTTTTGAAATATGTAATTCAGTGGCACAGCACTTGTCTTGTACATAAGAAGCAGAGGTCAATTTCTAGCATCAAAAAAATAAAACATTTATAACATAGGTGCCAAGTGCTAGCATCTATCCTTATAACAGTGCCAGGGGAATATGGGATATCAGAGGGGCTCATACCGAGTAATCTCACTTGCAGATTGGTCCTCTGGCTGCATTTCTGAAGTGTCACCATTGTTCAAAGATTCACTCAGGTTGGCCAGAGAGGTCACTACATTTGCCAGTGTACCCAGAGCTCCTTGACTTGTTTCAGCCTATTAAGTAATAGTAATATAAAAAAAATAAACAGTAACATTAGAAAACTAGCACACACATGCGAATGACTTATGGGCAATGAAATGAAGAAGGTATCATGTTTTGTCTTGTTTTTTTTAAAGCCCAGCTCCTAGAAGGTGTGAATAAAGAATCACACCAGAGAGATCTTTTTGTGTATCCATTGGATCAGAATGGATCAATGTTTTGTTTTTTTGTATCTTGGTTGTGGTCACACACACAAATCCACACATGTGATACAGTGATAAAATGACAGAAAAATAAAGTAAATTTCTGCCTGCCCACTTCCTTGCTTCCTGCCATGATGATAATGGATTAAGCCTTTAAAACTGTCAGCCAGCCCACAACCACAGCTTTTTGTGCTTTAGAAGATACAAGAAAGTAGTAAAGAAACAACCCGAAAGAAGGGAGGAAATATCTTCAAGTCACATGTCTGGTAATGGTTTAATAACCAAAATATTGAAAGACTTCAATAACACAATAAAAAGACAACCTACTCTTAAAAGGGACAAAGATCTGAAGACACTTCTCCAAAGAAGATGTACAGATGGTCAGTAAGTGTGTTCAACCTCATTTGAAATCAAAATCTCAGTGACTCCTCACATAAGTTGGATGTTATAATCCAAGAAAGAAACATGTTTTCCCATATGTGGGGAAATCAGAACAGTTACATATTGTTGATGGGACTAACCATATTGGTGTAGTCACATTCATAAACAGTCTGGCAGCTCCTCAAAGTTTAAATTTAAAAGTTGTTCATGGCCAGCAATTTTACATGGCTAGCAATTCAAACACAGACAATCCATACACTAATCATCTGAAGAACAGATACACAGCACGAGGCAGCCAGGCAGTGGCACGCTTTTTGGCAATGAAAGGAATGCTACAGGAACATGCTATATCATGGATGAACCTTTTACGCTAAGTAAAAGAAACCAGTTGTGAAGGAGCCACACTTACATGATTCCCTTCATATACAATGTATTGTTAAATAATTGTTAAAAACATGGAGCCTGCCGGACAGTGGTGGCACACGCCTTTAATCCCAGCACTTGGGAGACAGAGCCAGGCAGATCTCTGTGAGCGAGATCCAGGACAGGCACCAAAGCTACACAGAGAAACCCTGTCTCGAAAAGCCCAAAAACAAAACAAAACAACAAAACAAAACAAAACAAAACAAAACAAAAAAACATGGAGCCTAAAAGTAGCTTAGTGGTTGGCCTGGCTTGATGAGTTTCTTTTAGGAAGGTGAAAAACATTCTGGAATTGGTGGTGATTGAATCCAGAATCATGAAAATATACTAAAATACCACAGATTTATACATTGCGAGGGTGGATTGTGAATTACATTCAGCTTATAAAAAGAAAGCCAAAAATAAATAAATCACGAAATATATGTACAAGTCCTTCTTGTCTCTGTCTCTCTGTGTATGTACAAATAAATACCTGTGTGGGTTTTATTTTTTCTTTTTTTGTGTGTGTACACATATACCTGTGTTTTGATTATAGAAATGAAAAATTAAAATCAGTAGAAGTTTTAAACACAAAACTGCTTAATAAATTATGGTAGAACCACAGAACATTGTGCACTACAATGGGAGGCAACCTCTTGGACCAACAGACATCTTTGTCTACAAGCTCATTCTCTCTGGCTCATTTGTCAGCCTGTTGCAAATTATCAAATGGGAAGGAACCAGAGCTTCTGCAAAAGGCTGCCTTAGAAAAAGTAGCTATTTCTACATCATGCTGGTAGCCAGCCAATATGTATAACATTAATATTATATTAATAGGGGTATAGAACCATTGAATGTCCACAAAGCTGCCCTGTGATGGTGACTATGGCCAGTCAGCCCTGACTAGGGTGTCTGAAAAGCCACCAGCATCTTTAGAACAAATCCTAAAATGGCTCTATCACAAGAAGCTAATGGAGCTACAGGAAGCTATACTTCCAGCATCGTCTCTGATGGTCAAGAGGCAGGGGTAGTTGGAAAAGCAGCCTGCACTGCAACACACAGGAGGAGAGAATGTTACCTTGGAATCCGTGGCCAGGAGAACCGTACCATCTTCACGAATCAAAGGCTGCTGGATGTTCACAAGCATCCCTGGATCAAGAAGACCTGTTTGTCTATTGAAGACACAAAGAAACCCAGAGTAGCTTCTAACATTTTCTGCACAGTGTGTTCATGCTGCATTTATCTGCCTTTCCTATCTGCAAGGCTGTTTGCTAAGAGAAAAGCTCTAACACTCAGCCTAGGCTGAGTGGCCAGCTCTCTGCTCTTGCTGATGAGCACCTCACAAAGCCAGGTTACAGGCTGCGAGAGGACAGAACACATGCATATCCCTAGACCTTCTATACTAACTGTGGCCATTTTCCCCAAAGTTAAAATTCAAAGAATTGTTCAGAGACCCTCAACTTCAGCTCTTTGTGTAACACATTTTAGATCTCTGGTTTTCCTTATTTCTGTTCTCTTGAAAACCAGTTCAGAATGTGTTAAAGAGATTGTACAAGCTAGTTTGTGGCATTATCTGGGCCTTTCTTCACCTTGGGCCTTTTGTCTATACTGGAAAAAGTAAAATAAAAGGCCTGGCTCTTTCTGAGGGAAAGGACAACAGCAACAGCAAGGGATAAGAAGGCGGTCTTGGTCTCAGCTCTTGGCTGCTGCTCTGACCTCTTGGGTTTTTAACTCTGCATTTGGCTTGGTGATTCTTATTTAATAAAACCGTTCAGAATTATAAACAAACAAACAAATAAATAAATAAAATAAAAGGCCTGTACTCTGAGTTACAGACAGCTATTTTCCTGTATGAATGAAGCCTAAACTGCAGCATCAATTGTGCCCAGAGTGACCCTCAGCAATGTTAAGTGAACTCCAAAGAGAGAACGAGGCATGCCAGGGCTGTGGCAGGCAGGTGAGAGCCATGTGTGTGCCCTTTCCAGGGACATCTGCACTTCCTCTGGCCAGTTTGGAGGCCAATCACAGTGCTGCTCTGTGTGAACAGGAGACTGACCTTGCTCCATCCTTGTCTGCCACAAATGTGGGAGTGGCTATCAGAGGACTTCTCAGGTCTTTCCGGATATAGATCTTCTCAGTCGAAGCAGCACAATTGCTTGGTTTCTCCCGTTGCACATCAAAGGGCTTCCGTTCACTTTGTACAGCTTAAATTATACATTTAAAGAAAAAAAGTAAAATGAATGAACACCATAACATAAAGTGGTCTCTTAGCAAATCTGTAACTCTGGTGTTTAGTTACCATGGGCTTTCTAAACAATGGGAAAAAGAGTAAAATCAAATAATCCCAATACAAAAACCTAAAGGTATACAGATGGCTCAAGATGGCAGGTGCTGCCTACTGAGAAACTGCCATTCTGGTGTGACTTGAAAAAGTCAACATAGTCCCCTGTGTTTTTACTTCTGTCACTAGCCAGTTGGGCTCAGTCCTGGATAAGAAATGCCTATCTTCAAGTGGACCCTTCATAGAGATTATCCCATGACACAAATGGTAGAGCAACCTCTCCAGAGTCCAATTCCAGCCTGAAGTGCTTCAGCAAACTGAAAGCTGTTAATTGTATACAGTAATTTCTCTTCCAGCAACCTAGTGTAAGAATGGGTATATAGGAGCTGGAGAAGGCTCAGCAGTTAAGAACATGTTGCTCTTGAAGAGGACCACAATTCAATTCTCAGCACTCACATCAGACAGCTCACAACTCCCTGTAACTTCAGTTCTAGGGAGATCCAAGGCCTATGTAGCTACCTGCATCCACATGTACATAACACACATAGACACATACATATATGTAATTAAAACAAAAATGACTTTTAAAAATGACAGGCATGTTTGTTACAAGCAACTGAAGAAAAGTAGATCTTGGGGATGGGGTGGGGTGTATAGTACATGTATGTATGTACAGAGGCTAGAGGTCAGCAATGAATGCTTTCTACTATTGCCCTCCACCTTTGTTTTGATTCAGGGTCTCTCAGTGACCATGGAAATCACTGATTGGATAGACTGGCTGGCCAGCAGGCTTTGGTGATCCACCTGTCTTCCTCTAGTGCTAGGAATTACAGGCAGAGTAACAACACCCAGCTATCACATGGGTGCTGGAGATCAGAACTCACAACCTCATTCTAGTGCAGCAGGCACTTTACGTCTTGAGCCACCTCCCCAGCCCACAAACTATTAAAAGAAAGCAATGAAGCCTTGGATCAAGATGCCCTACTACTAAGCTGAAATGCAGTTGGACCTTGAGTTTGCAACTATGCCTGTGATTGCCCCAGTTTAATCCCGTCACTGCTTATAACTAAGGATAGCCTGACACTATGACAGGGCAACCTCACCCTAAGCTAGTCATGTATGGTTACAAACATACTTCTTGTTCCCCAGTGGATTTTCCATTGTCCCATTCCTGGACAGGAAACAACTCTGAAACCCATTCGCTCTAATCTTTCCAGGAGCCAGGCAGTACTGTTAAGGTGGTGTGGGCCCTAACTGTTCCTCTCCATCCCTGCTATACTCTCAAGAACACAGCACTGCTCTCCTTGACTTCTTTTGTGCTGCTACTTTGGAACCTGGTTCTTTTGATTTCACCATCAAGAATTGACCCGATGGTGTGGTGGTGGTGCATGACTTTAATCCCAGTGTTTGGGAGGCATAAGCTGGAGAATCTCTTGAGTTCGAGACCAGCCTGGTCTACAGACAGCCAGGGTTACATGGAGAAACCCTGTCACGAAGGAAGGAAGGAAGGAAGGAAGGGAGGGAGGGAGGAAGGGAGGAAGGGAGGGAGGGAGGGAGGGAGGGAGGAAGGGAGGACCAAACCCAGCAGTATCAGCTCTGGATCACCTGGCTGCCCCAGAAGGTAAAGCATAGTGAGCTTGTATATTTTCCCCATTCATTTAAAGTCAAATGTAAACACTTTACTTAGCAGGCATTTACTAACATGGTGAGGCCCTGCTACTCACATTCCATTTTCATGCCCATTTCCAGGCACTTTTTCAGCCTGCAGAACTGGCAGCGGTTTCGGTGATGCTTGTTGATGATGCAGTCTTGGCTGCTCCGGCAGCTGTAGGTCAGATT